CACCCAGACTCAAGGGCACTACTGCAATACTGAACCACCACTACACACCCAGACCCCAGGGCGCTGCTGCAAAACTGGACCACCACTACACACCCAGACCCCATGGCACTGCTGCAAAACTGGACCACCACTACACACCCAGACCCCAGGGCACTGCTGCAATACTGAACCACCTCTACACACCCAGACTCCAGGGCTCTGCTGCAATACTGAACCACCACTACACACCCAGACCCCAGGGCACTGCTGCAAAACTGGACCACGGCTTCACACCCAGACTCCAGGGCACTGCTGCAAAACTGGACCACCACTACACACCCAGACTCAAGGGCACTACTGCAATACTGAACCACCACTACACACCCAGCCCCCAGGGCACTGCTGCAAAACTGGACCACCACTACACACCAAGACTCCAGGGCACTGCTGCAAAACTGGACCACTTCACACCCAGACTCCAGGGCACTGTGCAAAACTGGACCACCACTACACACCCAGACTCCAGCGCACTGCTGCAAAACTGGACCACCACTTCACAGCCAGACTCCAGGGCACTGCTGCAAAACTGGACCACTTCACACCCAGACTCCAGGGCACTGTGCAAAACTGGACCACCACTACACACCCAGACTCCAGCGCACTGCTGCAAAACTGGACCACCACTTCACAGCCAGCCTCCAGGGCACTGCTGCAAAACTGGACCACTTCACACCCAGACTCCAGGGCACTGTGCAAAACTGGACCACCACTACACACCCAGACTCCAGGTCACTGCTGCAAAACTGGACCACCACTACACACCCAGACTCCAGGTCACTGCTGCAAAACTGGACCACCACTACACACCCTGACTCCAGGTCACTGCTGCAAAACTGGACCACCACTACACACCCTGACTCCAGGTCACTGCTGCAAAACTGGACCACCACTACACACCCTGACTCCAGGGCACTGCTGCAAAACTGGACCACCGCTACACACCCAGACTCCAGGGCACTGCTGCAAAACTGGACCACCACTTCACAGCCAGACTCCAGGGCACTGCTGCAAAACTGGACCACCACTACACACCCAGACTCCAGGGCACTGCTGCAAAACTGGACTTTGAAAGGCACTCCTGCAAACAAAACTGGACCACCACTACATTTCCACCTCTCTCTTCGAATGTCTCTGCTGCCAATTCAAAATTGTAAAAATTATTTTCACACGTACACAGGAAGGAGTGTCTGTCTCTTTGATGTTGTTGATGTCTGATATGGTACCTGACAATTAAAAATCTTGTTACATTATTATAACAGATTAAAAGTCTTGTTACATTGTTATAACAGATTAAAAGTCTTGTTACATTATTATAACAGATTAAAAGTCTTGTTACATTATTATAACAGATTAAAAGTCTTGTTACATTCTTATAACAGATTAAAAGTCTTGTTACATTATTATAACAGATTAAAAGTCTTGTTACATTATTATAACAGATTAAAAGCCAGTCAAAACTACTGATTTGATAGAGTCAATTACAGCACCAACTCGTATATTCAGTTGAATGAAATCTGAATAATGGATACTGGTCCATTTATCTATCAATAAAAAAATTATGAGTGTGTGTAATTTTGTGTTACGAGAATTGAAGCGATGATTTATGTGTAGGCTTCGTCATGCATGGTCAGTCTACTGATCTATAAGCCTTGTAAAATTCTGAAAAAAACAGGTTCTTAAGTTGACCTGGATTTTCCAATTTGATAGAAATAGAAATTCCGGAAACTGTAGAAATCTGAGTATTGTGTAACCCCGTAATAGATAAGTAGGAAAAGTTGACAAGGTTGAAGGTGAGATATGGTTTGTTCGTACATTATCATCAGCTAGTGTTGCATGGAAGAAGGTCTGGGTTGGATGGAAAAGAAATAGGGGGAAAAAATGAGAAAATAAATGATTTGTGGTATCCAGTGTATTTTGTTGGTTAATTGCTCTGGTAACAGAAATCCAGAAATCAGGATTTTATCTCCTGGAAGTATCTTTACTTTGGTGACAGCTATCTTACTTGCTGATTTATCAAATTGGTACAAAAAAAACTTCTGAAAACATGTTCATTGTGTTAACTATAACAGTCTATTGAATACATATACATTAATTGACGGTTATAAGGCCAGTATTAACATGCACTTAAGATTATATGTACTACTCGTTGAAGTCCACCCAGCTGTGCAAATGGACACCAGCATAAACATGTATAAGTTGCAATCGGTACTGATGCATGTAATGGGGAAAAGTTATCTTCTGTTCACAAACACTGAAAGTCTTTGTCTGAAATTGTCTAAAATTCGAAAATGTTATTTTAAGAATAGTTCCAAACATTTAGAAAGCTGATTACCCTGGACTGATGCTGTTGGGGTAAACATGCACACATAATATATTAACTGACCAGTATACTGACCACTGATAAACTAGAGATGACCATGGATGTTGACAAGACTGAACTGGCCATTGACCCTGACCAAGCTTTACCCAGTGCCCTTTCCTATTAGCCTAAGAGCATCATCATCTATGTCCTATGTAGATGCATGTCTTGTCTGGCTGATGATGGTCACTCTGGCTGACCGGTCAGTGAAGCCTGGCTAGAGGTCAGTCTGAGTTCTACATCCGAGGGACTATTCTGTCTATATTTAACCTAATTAGGCACTAATTAATGGAGAAGAGTGGCCCATGTGTATGGCTGAGTGTTAATTACGGGGTCTGTACTATCTGTGAGGCTGGTACCATCCTATTGGTGTACAGGACTATCAGGTACAGCCACGAACCATATGGTTAGGTGCTATACACTCACCAGATGTCCAGTCCATGTGTACATACCTAGCCTATCAGACTCATTACAGTCCAGCAGTTCCCGATTGGTTCAGCCCAACACAGTGAACCACACTTCTACTATATACATTTACCCTTCGATTCACAGTGGAAATATTGCTATGCCTAATAATCTGTGATATTTATGCTTGCCAACTGTCCCTATTTTGGAGGGAAACTCACTATTTTGGACCCTGAATTTAGCATTTTCAATCAGTGAATTTGCTTAACTATTCCTATATTCTGAGATCTAGAGATTTCATCTAAAAGAACAAACCAAAAGATACAATTTGAATAGTTAAGTTTTTCCTGCAGGGTATATACACACATTTTATACATTTTTTAATTCTGAACATGCAGAATCTCCCCTATAGAAATTTGGCAAGTATATGTACTTATAATGATTATCATGATCAGTTTCACTAATCATAACAGATGGCAAAAGTATATCTGGCACAAAAAGTATAAAGAAAATATGTGGAGCAAACATTTTTTTAGCAACCCCCCCCCCCCCCCCCCAAAAAAAAAAAAAGATTTTTGAACAATAAACTACACAAATTGTACAATGGCAAAATTCTAAAGCACTCAGAAGCTTCCTTCACAGAATGGAATCTGTTATATAGCTTATATATTGTGTTCTGAAATCGTAAACTCCTGACCAAGATTACCTTGATAAACATTTAATGAAGAGTTTGCTCGAAAACATGTCAAAAGGTGAAGTGTTTGCTTATATTCCCATCTACTGGTAAATGTATGTTATCACACATATACAGTCAAGACTCGTCAAAATTTGGTTGTTCCATCCTCTAGTCATGTTTTAGAGAAGATGTTGACACGCTTGTATACAGACCATTCCCAGTAAGCCATCTGTCAAGTAATCTATCTGGATTATCAACACTGCTCTGTACTTGTAATGTGTATATGTGTTCTTCTAACATATCTGTGTATACATAAGAGACATCAGAAACTGTAAAATCAATATTTTAAAAAATATTAGTGTTTATTAATTCATCTGATAATATTCAATGCTATGGAAGAACATCCTTTTAAAAAAAAAAATTTGATTCGGGAACTTCAAAAAAATTATAAAGTTTTTTCATACATTTGCCTGAGAAAGATGAACCAAAGATGGTATTTTCATAATGATACAGGCTACAGGTAGTCTCCTTGCCTGTCATCATGGCTTATTAAAGATGTTTTAAGTTACAATGATACAGGCTACAGGTAGTCTCCCTGTCTGTCATCATGGCTTATTAAAGATGTTTAGTTACAATGATACAGGCTATAGGTAGTCTCCCTGTCCGATATCATGGCTTATTGAAGATGTTTAGTTACAATGATACAGGCTACAGGTAGTCTCCCTGTCTGACATCATGGCTTATTGAAGATGTTTAGTCATAATGATACAGGCTATAGGTAGTCTCCCTGTCTGACATCATGGCTTATTGAAGATGTTAAGTTACAATGATACAGGCTATAGGTAGTCTCCCTGTCTGACATTATGGATTATAGAAGATGTATAGTCACAATGATACAGGCTACAGGTAGTCTCCCTGTCTGCCATCATGGATTATTGAAGATGTGTAGTCACAATGATACAGGCTACAGGTAGTATCCCTGTCTGACATTATGGATTATAGAAGATGTGTTGTTATAGTGATACAGGCTACAGGTAGTCTCCCTGTCTGACATCATGGCCTATTGAAGATGTTTAGTCTCAATTATACAGGCTACACATGGTCTCCTTGTCTGACATCATGGCTTATTGAAGGTGTTTAGTCATAATGATACAGGCTACAAGTGGTCTCCTTGTCTGATATCATGGCTTATTGAAGATTTGTAGTCACAATGATACAGGCTATAGGTAGTTTCCCTGTCTGACATCATTGATTATTGAAGGTGTTTGGTCTCAATGATACAGGCTACAGGTCCCTGTCTGACATCATTGATTATTGAAGGTGTTTAGTAACAATGACATTATTGTTTCCAGATTAACTGGATGAGATACATCTACCTCTGTTTTCTTTGTGTGATTTCCTTGACTGAGTTAGATCTAACCTTTTATAATTGAAGTACTAACCAATGTGTGGGGAAAGATTGAAATATAGGTACAGCCCATAGCTTTATGTAACTTGTGTGTCATCGTTTGTGTGTTTCAGTGCCTGGAAACATTCACTCAGGGGTTTCTGGAAATGACAGCATCATGGCTACAGGGGTCTTCTCTGCTAGGGAACTACTTCGTGTCACACGGCGTAAGTACATATGAATACCACCTCACTCCTCATCACTTGGGAACAACTGCACATTTTACATTGTACATGCATATACAAACCACACCGCCTCACTCCATCTCCAATAGGTACCTACCCATACTTAATAATAAAGGAACTATCTTTTCATGCATCAGTAAGAAAGGAATATAACTACCAACTCTTGAATTTATATTATAGGGACATAACTTCTAGTTTATGCATCATAAATAAAAGGACATAACTACTGATTCATCAATCAAGTAATAAAGGGCCATAACTACCAGTTCAAGTTACATGCTACCTGGACTAACCCAGGTCTGGCCCTGCCCCAAGGGACTGAGGTCATTACATGAAAACAATTTGAGATCCTAACACTATAAACCATATACACATGCATATAGATCTCGACCAGATTTGCTTAAAAGTTTCCTTAGCTTTGAAACAAGAAAATAGTGATACAGGCCCTCCTTGCCTCTTGTTAGGTATTGCCTGCTTTCCATTTCTGTTCAAAAAGTTTGTACTTATATGTTTCAGAACAGTACAATTCAAGTTTGGAATTTAAAATATCTACATAATCACTCCAGGTTACAATTACCAGAATTCCTGTCACATGCTTTCAGATTTCCTGTAGTTAGTATATATCCAATTTCCAGAATTCCCATCATAAACTACTCAATTTTGGTTATAACACATTTCAAACAATACTTTAACTAGATCTACTTTGCTTTCAGAAAGATTGTTTCACTAGGAGGTACAAGTTGGAGATAATTTGAAAACTGTTTTTTTTTGTAAATATCACATCCTTCATCATTTGTGACAGGCTCTACTCTACTTTACAATGTCATGTTCCCATTTTTAATGACAAATTATGTGTTTGATTTGTAACATTTTGTAATGCAGACAGAAATACTGATATTGTTATAACAATCAACACAACATGACAAAGTTTGTACCATAGAAACCTGGTCAAGTTTCTTGAACAGTGTGAAACAGGTTGTCAGTATGTGTAATTAGGTGGAATAAGTAATAAACCAGCCCTGTCTCTAGAATATTGAAGATTTTTAGAAACAAAAATTCGACTTTTATCATTTTTGTCTTGTTCACGTGATGTCTGATTCATATGTTTTAAATGAGGGGAATATTAGCTTGTAGAAGAATAGAGTTGGAAAATTCTTTAAAACCTTTGGGGATGGTTGCATGTCAAAGGAATATATTAAAATCATATGTCATGGGAAAAAACCCCCACTATTGGATGGTAAAAGGTGCCATAGAAATTAATTTCCATTGTATATACAAATTTGGAATCCTCAAATCCTTCCATCCTATTTTTTGTTTGTTTAATCAGTTATTTTTAACTGGTCAGTTGATGATTTTTCTGTTGATTGAGGTTTGTGTATTGATGTTACATGGGTAAATTATTGCCAGATGGTGTCGGATAATTAGAAGTATACAGGAAGACTAAGCCCAGGGCATACCACCATGTCTAGGGCCTATATTGTCTGGTTCGTTTTTCTCCGCCATCAAGGATGCAAGTATTCTAGATTGCTAGCGTCTGACCTAATTGAACGGGAAATAGTGCGGAGGGGGTTGGGGGGGCGTTAAAAAATATTTCAAATCAGAGGCAGCCGAGAGAATAAATGTAATTGAAATTAAAGTGATGTGTAATCAAATTACAAGCTCTGTCTATAGTTGGACTGAGAATCATACAGAGTCATCTCCCTTTGAGGTAGTAGTACAGTACTAACTGTTTTGAAGAAGATTAACTCTTCGTAGACTGCAAGCTCTTACCCGGACAACCACTTGGCGGCTATCAAACTCTGTTTCCTGCCAATTTCTTTAGATAGACAGTTTGTGGTATTTTTTCAGTGAAATCTGGCATTATTAGTCATAATAAAACATTGTCATCCGTCCGTAACCAATTTGATTTCATTTGGCACAGAATAGATGTAAAGGCCATTTGTGTTTCCCCGTTCTTGTTCTCGTCAGATCTATAAATAGCCCTGAAACAGCACTACACTGTAACATGTGCTTGTCACATGAGTTATGGATCATCCTGAGCATGTGATAATGTAAAGGACTTGACTTTTTTTATTGTAGATGTATTACGTCTTTTCTAGTTCTTATATCTGTACAACTCCTTATAAACATAACAGAAGACGATATTTTGAAACATACTTGAACTTCATATTTGTTTACTGAATTCTATAATGTGATGCTGTCACATCTGCAATGCCCCTTTGGCTATGTGAAGTGGTTGTGTACGTTTTGTTCTATATAAGACCTATATTTAAATGAAAATCATAATCAGCTGCTGACCATTTATGTTACATTCAAGGTCATTGATCAAAAGGTCATTGTGATTATAGGAGATTAATGACAAGTGCTAGTGTGTGCATTAAGAACAGGATTATTTTCTTATTTTTTTTTTATCTGACCCTACCGCACCTATACATGGAGATAGACGTATCATGATTTTAATATCTTAGTCATACACAACCACAACTTGTTATATCAGCTGCACCCAGCTCTGATAACTGTGGTAAATAACACCTACATTATTATATAATGGTTACTACTGCAAGAAATATGCAAGAAAATCTGCTGGGGTTGAAGCCAAGGTCATATACTTCAATTTTTTTTTTTAAACTGGTGTAAAACAGCTATTTTTTCTCTCTATCATTTGATATTCATATTGTATCTTCATTTTATGACTTAGATATTGTGATTAAGTCAACCTTGGGTTAACTTCATTTAAAAAAAAAGGGAAAAACTAATTATAAAAAATAAAATCGACAATCGACACACAACTAAGTACTTGAAGAGAAAATGTGACTTCATATGAATACAGATATTTTAACTTCCTCAGGATCAGTGTGATTTGGAGATATTGGAGCACGTTGATTTATCTGTTTTTCGTGATAGCCTATTAATATGAATGACTCTAGTATATTAATCAGACATATTGTACACCTGCGTGCAGATTCCTGTAGACGAAGGTCACGCCTGGTTCAACAGTTCCGTACCAATATATTAAAGACTGGCTATGTCAAGTTTCAAGTGTAGTTTATACAGAAACTTCTTTTTTCATCTCAAATTATGTGTATAGGATCTCTAGGAGTAATGCATTAGGTTTTATGGAATCTGAAATTATTTTAAATGAACAAACACAGGAATTAAATGTAGATTTTGTGAAATGATGAAAAATATATATTGAGCTTTAAGAGCTCATGACGGAAAAGTTTACGTAATAGAAAATACAGATGAAAAGTGAGCATTTGTCTTCGTAAAACCTTATTTAACGTCCCGGTTTAGGTACATTCATACTACAATAGCACTTGTTCTCGGTAAACGCAATCTTATTACAACTGTGAAATGCATGTGGATTAATTTTAAATTTCTAAGCCGGCTATACATCTAGAAGCTCTTCACGTCTTGTGTATATAAATAATGTGGGTTTGGAGCACAAAAAAATGAGGAAGTGTATTATATCCCAGAGATTTAAATCCCGGTTTTAAAGTCCATTGACTACCTGCTGGTCTTACAAAGCATGTGAGCTATGCTGAATGGCCCTTACAAGTGTTGGGCATAGACCATAGCGTTTCTATAGGCCCAGTAACATTATATACATTTAACCCAAATCATACTCAGTCAAGCGAAATGTTCCGTGGAATGAGCACCTTGTTCATGGAACATACATCCCTTCAATAGACTGGCACCTCGGTCTATATTATCAGATGACCAGGCGCTGTGAAGGTCATTTGTATAGTCAAAAAGGGTCATTTTAGCATTCAAAGGAAAACAACTGGAGTAGATAATTATATAGATGGAGAAGTATGTGGTAACATCACAGGCAGTTAATTATGTTTTTACAGATTGTATAAATCATGTGGCGGCGATTAGGTATCAAATGTGTTTGTAAGCACACATGTGTGGGTATCCTAGTATTCCCTTCGACACACATACACGAGTAGGTCCTACGAGTATTTATGTTTCTTGACTGAATTGTATCTCCTTGGTAGAAGTTCCGCTACTTGTAAAAACATCTTCATAAGGGTATAGATTGATACCAGTATTAAAGAAACACAAACGCGTATTGATTTGATTATGACCAATTAATCCTGAAAATCACATAATACTTATTAAAATATAACATAAGATATACTAATTAATATAAGCAGGCATTTTTTAGTAGGATAACTTATCAGTGAAGCTTAAGGCCAAAAAATAGTAAATATAAAGGCAAATGCAAATTTGAACATGTTGAAGACTTCAGCTGTGCTTTTCATCAAGTAGTTTTTGGAATTTACAGACAATCATTATATGATAAAATGAAATCAAATATTACATTACTGAAAGTTGTTAAAGGGACCTAACTCTTACACAAATGTTTGGGTATAATATTTAAGGAAGCATATACTAGAGCCTTAACTAATCGCATTGCCTGAGCTTACAGATGATTACCCGGTAGATATTAAATGTGGAACCGCCTAAATTGACATTTAAAACATTTTTAGCAATGGTCTGTGTAATTGTGTATTCATTTGTCAAAGATTACTAAGTAGAGAAGGCCACTTAATTGTAGATTTCGAAAAAAAATATACTTTGTCTTGAATTTTTTGTCGAGGACAAGATGCTTTGGTTTTTCAATTGAATATAAATTAACTTTGAGACCAATTGTCCATGTCTTTGGGTTTAAGTCTGATGGTCTTTGTTTTGAGTTTTTTTTAATTTTAACAAATGCACTCTTGTCTGGCCAGTATTTTAGATCGGATACTTCCGACAATAGAGAAATAACTGAAAAAAACTGAAATAAAATGAAAATAAAAAAACATGCATTCCAGTTTTATTTGTATCGATCATATGTTATAGGGGCTGTGTAAGAAACAGTCTCTGCTTAGGGACTTGATATACTTACATGTTCTCATAAAATTGATTTTTTTTTACTTACAATTTCAGGAAATTTTCAAAATGTGCACTTTTCCATTTCTGTGTGTAGCCCTAATGGAGGTGGGCATCCTTTCTTTTTAATGGTTTTAAAGATTGAAATTTTTGGGATCAGTTCCTTTGGGGTTTTTCTGTCTGTGTTAGCCGTATGGCGGCTCTTTTATCAGAATAAATGCAATCTGGTACCTCACTTTTAGTTTAAATTTTGGATGAGACTCCAAAGAACTTGGTGTATGAGGACCATTAACTATTCTGCAGCATTGCGAAAAAATGGAAAAACCTCCTCAGCAATAATCTAATCTATTGTATCCAAGTCAAATTTTAACCACAAAAATATTAACAAAATAAAATAATATATGTTTCTGTGAACTTTTTTACCATGAAGATGTCAAATAAATTAAGTCCTGTGATTTTGTTTAATCTTGTCCTGTTTAAATGGTATGTGATTTTGTTTAATCTTGTCCTGTTTTAATGGTATGTGATTTTGTTTAATCTTGTCCTGTTTTAATGGTATGTGATTTTGTTTAATCTTGTCCTGTTTTAATGGTATGTGATTTTGTTTAATCTTGTCCTGTTTTAATGGTATGTGATTTTGTTTAATCTTGTCCTGTTTTAATGGTATGTGATTTTGTTTAATCTTGTCCTGTTTTAATGGTATGTGATTTTGTTTAATCTTGTCCTGTTTTAATGGTATGTGATTTTGTTTAATCTTGTCCTGTTTTAATGGTATGTGATTTTGTTTAATCTTGTCCTGTTTTAATGGTATGTGATTTTGTTTAATCTTGTCCTGTTTTAATGGTATGTGTATTTGTTTAATCTTGTCCTGTTTTAATGGTATGTGATTTTGTTTAATCTTGTCCTGTTTTAATGGTATGTGATTTTTAGTCTGGATCAGGTACAGTACATTTAAAACTTTCACAGTGATTTGTGTAATTGAAAGAATTGGCCAGATATTTATATCTTCCTGCACTTGCTGAATGAAATCTTTTTATTTTGTTTTAATTACTTATATACTTATGTCTGGCTAGAGTATATAAAAAAATGAACCAAAAAATAGACGGAAGATAATCTGGTGAAATTTGTTGGATTTTTTGCCTGATGTTGAGTGGTTTTAATTTAGAAATGAATTAGCTGGGAGAATTAGTTGCTGTGTATGCAATGTTGAAAACGGATCGTGCCTCTAAGCGTGTGTTTGACACACTTTTGAGACTCTGGGTTATGGCTACTTCACTCTACAAGTGCTATATAGATTTATACACAAACTGATTTTTTTACCTCAAGTCTTGTAAAAGCTCCAGTCTGTAGAATTAATTGTCGGGGATTGTGTATCTGGTATGATATGGTAGTGACTGGGGTGCTCTGCAAAACTCAACACCAGTTAATATATTCTGGTATCTTAATTAGTACAGCATAAGTATGAGGTCTATGGTGTATACTGTTGTGTGTTCCAGATTCCATCATGATGCCACAGAACGGGACAGTGTCTATGATGCCGCCCAGTAAACAGATGGACAGTCCCAGTTACTACAACTACAGCCCTCAGGAACAGCCCCAGGTGGTGGGTGGCATGCCACACCCGGGAATGCCCAACGGCCAGTCCGCCCTTAGCCCCTCCGGCCACCCACATAAGCGGCTAAAGCGCAGCACCATGAGCTCAATCTCGTCAGCGGAGGACGATGTGGAGAGCGTCGGGGATGAGAACGAGACGATGAGCAACTACTATGGCAAGTCTCCCGCTAACCTGAGTGGCAGTGGCTCGTCAGGGTGGCAGGGGGATCACATGGACCCAGGTGAGGCCACACCCACGCACATGTATAGCCACACCTATTTCACTGCAAAGCCACACCCACCATATTTTTAGGACCAAATATCTACTTATAGAAAGCTAGGTTTGCAATGTCTTGACAATGATTGCCTACCTTATCAAAACTCAAGGAAAATCACAAATACATAGGAATATGTAAGGAAGACAGCATAGAATATAAGCATGTACCATCAACATATGTAACCACTCCTACATACAGAATGGTCACTCCTGGTCACTTTAGCAGATAATTGGGACACCCAGTAAGCAAAATACTACACACACATTCACACAACATTTCCGCACCAATTCTGGTCTTCTTTGTCCATGTGAACCCCCAATAACACATTACACTGATCTGAAAGTGATCTTAAATGGCATCTGTTGAAGATAACTTGACTGTCTGGTGTCACCTGGCAAAACATGATGGTGCTTTGTTCACTGTTATGTGAACGTAACCATTTGATATGGAAGTTGATTCCCAAACCAGAGTATCAGTTGGTCTTTTGCCTGGTACATGATTTTACCAATACCTCTTAAGCTGACCTTTCTTTAGACTGTCACACCTCTAGACTCGCAGAGTTGAGCTTTTCTTTAGACTGTCACACATCTAGAATGGCAGAGTTGAGCTTTTCTTTAGAATGTCACACCTCTAGACTGGCAGAGTTGAGCTTTTCTTTAGACTGTCACACCTCCAGAATGGCAGAGTTGAGCTTTTTCTTTCGACTGTCACACCTAGACTGGCAGAGTTGAGCTTTTCTTTAGACTGTCACACCTCTAGACTGGCAGAGTTGAGCTTTTCTTTAGACTGTCACACCTCCAGAATGGCAGAGTTGAGCTTTCTTTAGAATGTCACACCTCTAGACTGGCAGGGTTGAGCTTTTCTTTCGACTGTCATACCTCTAGACTGGCAGAGTTGAGCTTTTCTTTAGACTGTCACACCTAGACTGGCAGGGTTGAGCTTTTCTTTCGACTGTCACATCTCTAGACTGGCAGAGTTGAGCTTTTCTTTCGAATGTCACATCTCTAGACTGGCAAAGTTGAGCTTTTCTAATTGATCAAATTTGATCAGTTTGGTGGACAGTCATCCACCTAGACTAAATTGTCCACCTAATTGTCCACCTTTTCTGTAGCTGTATCGAAAAATATGTGCATTCTTACTTAATGAGATAAAAAATGAACCAGTTTTCTGTTAGGTCCTGTCAATTTTGGTGATCATAGGGCGCCGGCCATTTACTTGTGGAATGTTGTAAAAAACAAATTTACCCCCTGAGTACATCTGTAGTCTTCGGGAAAAAACAAGGAAAACTATATACCAGAAGAACAATACAAATTTAATGAGGATGTTAGCTTTTAAAAGAATGTGTTTCCTGATCACAAATTTATAAGGGGATCGTTAAGTCTTCCCCATGTAACCAAATGATGTAAATTTCCCGTCCCGAGTTCCACTTCTTTCACGTTCTCGTGGAAGCTAGTGTATTGGTTGGGAGTGATAAACGGGGCTGGTAGGCTGGCCGTACCTACAAGTTAGGTAATTCTATAATACTCTGCGGACACATTACGCGTCACAAACACTATTTGATATGCAGCTGCGAGTTTAGTTTCTAAAAAATCAATACGCCTACATCTCACAGACCTTTTACGTACCAAAATTATTTCAAAATTATGCAGAATTCCCAAATTTTGCGGTTTGTTTCTAGATTGAATTGTCCCAGGGGTACACATGTTCTTAGGTAACGGTTACCGGGGGAACCATTTGAAAATTGGTGAATAAAATTGAGATTTTAGAAAGTATAGACATGATGTATTTGAGAAAAAAACGATTTTCAATTTTTTTTTTGTCTAAGATGTTTTCTTTGAAAAGTGAGTTTTAAGTTCCGACAGTTAAATTGTGATGCTTCAATTAAAGATGCTAGAAATGTATGTGAAATGCCTAATCCTTCGGTGTGTCGAGGGGTTTGGAAAGCATGTGAGGCATTGTAGCTCCCGTATGTCAGCTTAAGCGCTGCGCACGGGATAAAACCAGCGAAGACAAATTATCTGTAGGCCTATTTCGTTGACACAGTGAAAACTGATGAATTTATTTTGCCACCAACTAGATGATAAATCTGTAGTTATGACAATGATTTATTTTCACGTTAAATCAAGTTTCTTCTACTGTGAAATAAAACTTTCTTTTCAGGTATGTTGGATAAATTTATTTTTAAAAGATTTTAGATTTTTTTTCAGCATTTCATTTCACTTTAATCAAGTCTTCATATTGACAAATAGGTCACATTTATTTCTTATTTGAATGTTGTTCATTGGTTATACTTTCTAACCTCCATGCAAACTATTCATTTTCTATTTGAAATGATTTGTTTAGTTTACTTATATGGACATATATTTCAACATGCCAAACTGTAAAAGACACTCTCGGAAAATTTATTGTTAGTATAAAAATATAAAAAAAAATATATCAGTATGAATAAATGAAGATTTTAATCAAACGTTAATTTATGCCTGGGCTCTCATATCATCAATTTATAGCCCGGAAACGCAAGTTTGATCAGACAGTATTTGTGGTATCTGACACAGCTGTTTAAGTAGAATATTTACAATCTATGTGAACGTACCATGTTTCTTTTATATCTGTTGAGTATCTGTGATCAGTTCTGGTATGGAAGAAGATAATCTTCTGTTGATAACCCTGTAAATTGATACCAATTAAAAAGGTTGAGATTGTCAATTGTAATGGACATCAAATTATGTCAAAATATAGCAAGGGGAATAACTCCAGTCAGTTATCTTGTCTTGATATCAGTTCCTCTTACATCAGACGTCAAATGAATTAATTTTGATCTGGATGCAGTGTTCTATATGTAGGAAAGCAATTTTATAAATTGTAGCGATTCTTTAAGAGATATGACTCACTGTCTAAGTAGATATTGTTACATATAAACTTGACGTTGCTACGGATATTTGAGTTTTAAGAGGTTATGAACGTTAAGTTTTCTGATCGGGTCGTGATAAGGATGTAAATGAGACCAGTAGAAAGTGATCAAGACTGACGATAATTAATTACACAGACTCACATGTACATTTTTTTATTTGATTCTCAAAGACTCGGAGACTAAATGAATCGTGCGGTGGGCGGGAAAGAGTTTCTCTGTAATATGTCTTCAAAACATTCCACACTTATTTCACAGCTAGCTAGCGTAGCATGTACCAACCTTAAATTCTCTATAACCCCATACCTCCTTTGATGGATGGCATTGGGCAACGTTTTGCTAGTCATGGAGGCGTTGGAGCATCATCTAGTACATGAAAACTCTGAACCTTGATGACTGTTGAGATTGTCAGACCCGTACCGTAGACAGTTAAAAACCACTGATATTACATTACTTGTGGCCTAGTAATTTGTGTTGTATTTGTAAATGCTAATTTTTAGTGGCCGCGTCTGTTAGTATACGACCTTCGCACAAAATAGATGTTACACAGAATTGTCCATAAATCTTGTCCTACCTCCAAAATCATGTAATGGAATCCCCCGATGATTGATTTAGACTAGTTTATGTTCTCTCTAGGGTACACCAATTACACCTCTGTTTCTGTCTGGGTATTTTCAGCATTATATATATACACCCTTTACATTTTGTAACAAACATTTCCGCAGTATACATATTTCCAGTAATAAACCACTGTCGTTGTTTTCGAAGTCTCGCCATTTCTTAAATGTGAGATACATTCCCGTATTAATTTATCTTTTCACTATTTATTTCCTAATCACCCAAACACATTGTGTTTGCATCAACATGCATGGTCCCTTTAGCAATATGAGTTAAAGAAATTGCAGGAGAGTATAAAAAATAAAAATGAAAATAGGTCCTCCATGTATTTCATATATTCAAATCAATCAAACTTCCTGTTTTGGAGCCTGCAAAAACTGGTACATATATCAACATGGTATATTCTGCATCTTCATATTTACACTTACAAATTTTGTTTCCAAATTATCATCTTCATGTATTTATTTACACTCCATAATTATTGCCATCTTAATATTTTCATGTCTAAAGATTAATGCCTATTTGAAAAACATTATCACATATTTACATATCAAATAAAACTATTCCTTGTTGCTGAATCGTAGTATGTATACTAGTATTCACTTTCTCACATTGGTTGACATCATTATATTTGTATCACCTTCAAAGATTGGTAGGTGTTACAGGTGTTACAGGTGTTACGAACGAGGAGTTTTGAAGTTTTTTGCTTGACCTGTTGATCGTTATCCAACACTGCAGCAGAACTTCAGTTATCACTGAATCATTAATGTTTTATGGTTAGTTTTTAATAAGTCCTGATTGAATACAAAACTTAATGAATAAAGTCATATTGAGGCTTCACCCTAAGCTCAATTCTTCATCAACATTTATGGTCCACTGACTTGTTCAGGGTTCAGTTGCTTGACATACTATACTTTCTGACTTGACCAATGTGTATGGTCTGGCGGTTTCCCCCCATCTATGCTCCGGTGACTTCACCAACATTCACATTCCACTATCTAATAATGCCAAAACATTTTAGCTTCCAGTTTCCGAGAAATCAAATCACAATAGGTCAGATTAGCGATTATATTATCATACTTTCAGATTGACAGGGATTCCTGGAATTTCTTGTTTAGTACATACTTAAATCTTCGGCTTGGGGTATAAGTTAAGGTCCTCCTCTATTACACCCTATAAATCTTAGGCTTGGGGTATAAGTTAAGGTCCTCCTCTATTGTACCATATAAATCTTAGGCTGTGGGTATAAGTTAAGGTCCTCCTCTATTATACCCTATAAATCTTCGGCTTGGGGTATAAGTTAAGGTCCTCCTCTATTATACCCTATAAATCTTCGGCTTGGGGTATAAGTTAAGGTCCTCCTCTATTATACCCTATAAATCTTCGGCTTGGGGTATAAGTTAAGGTCCTCCTCTATTATACCCTATAAATCTTCGGCTTGGGGTATAAGTTAAGGTCCTCCTCTATTATACCCTATAAATCTTCGGCTTGGGGTATAAGTTAAGGTCCTCCTCTATTATACCCTATAAATCTTCGGCTTGGGGTATAAGTTAAGGTCCTCCTCTATTATACCCTATAAATCTTCGGCTTGGGGTATAAGTTAAGGTCCTCCTCTATTATACCCTATAAATCTTCGGCTTGGGGTATAAGTTAAGGTCCTCCTCTATTATACCCTATAAATCTTCGGCTTGGGGTATAAGTTAAGGTCCTCCTCTATTATACCCTATAAATCTTCGGCTTGGGGTATAAGTTAAGGTCCTCCTCTATTATACCCTATAAATCTTCGGCTTGGGGTATAAGTTAAGGTCCTCCTCTATTATACCCTATAAATCTTCGGCTTGGGGTATAAGTTAAGGTCCTCCTCTATTATACCCTATAAATCTTCGGCTTGGGGTATAAGTTAAGGTCCTCCTCTATTATACCCTATAAATCTTCGGCTTGGGGTATAAGTTAAGGTCCTCCTCTATTATACCCTATAAATCTTCGGCTTGGGGTATAAGTTAAGGTCCTCCTCTATTATACCCTATAAATCTTCGGCTTGGGGTATAAGTTAAGGTCCTCCTCTATTATACCCTATAAATCTTCGGCTTGGGGTATAAGTTAAGGTCCTCCTCTATTATACCCTATAAATCTTCGGCTTGGGGTATAAGTTAAGGTCCTCCTCTATTAACACCATCATAATATAACCCCATATTAACATTATCCCAATATACCTAGGACATTCCTTCAATGTCATAAAATAACGATACAAAACTTGCATCACCCAAACGTCTCATGATGTGACACTCCCACGCCATTTTGTAATATCACAATATTCATGTATCACAGTATCACAATGTCATCGAATAACATAACACTTACATTACCCAAATGTCTCATGATGTGACATTCCCACGCCATTTTGTAATATAACAATATTCATGTATCACAGTATCACAATGTCATCGAATAACATAACACTTACATTACCCAAACGTCTCATGATGTGACACTCCCACGCCATTTTGTAATATTACAATATTCATGTATCACAGTATCACAGTGTCGTAAAATAACATTTAAATTGTCCCATTATCAAAACTGTGACATCCCCAAAACCATCGTAATATAGCACACATTATATCACTCCAATATCTCATGGTGTGACATCTGCGTAACGTCGTAATAATTATGCTTGTAACACAACATTGACATCAGTATCACAATATTGTAATATAACATTTCATTTGTATCATCCCATTATCACATGGTGTGGCCTCATAATCATTTGGTCTCTTTTGTTGATTATTTCTTTGAAAATGCGAATCATTTCTCGTTTGCTACACATCATTTACTCTCATCAACTCTGTGTAGGCGTGTGTTTGTATGAAACTTCTGCTAAAGCGCAAAGCACGATTTTAATTCATTTGCATAGAAACATTGTTGTTCATTAATTTATTAAGATTAATATTAACAGCCTCAAAAGATCGGTTCATTGTATCATGCTTTCAGTCATTGATTTTCCCATCTAACATTTAATCTATAAAAATAACCTACTAATTTACTTTGTTTTTCCGTGTATATTGTAATATTTACTGCAACTTTTCACACATTTTCTATAGTTTGCTATACAAGGCTGGCCATGTGCTTGTTCTGGAAATGTTCATGTCTAATATATATATTTTGAATTTTCTTTGTCTCTAGGACACTTGCATCATGTATTTAAAAATGTGTTTGCACCACATTGTTGTACGATATCTTTGTTTATATTAATGACGGCTTACATATTTACCAGGAATAAGTTTTACTGAGCACAGTATGATTTTTCGCAGCACTTTGCTTTTAGGTTTTTAATCTGAGGACCTTTACTTTTCTTCACAGTGTGAACATGTGTTTCCAGTTTTTCTTAGACGATACTCTCTAACTGTCAATATCTGCTGTAATCTGATTGGTGCCTTAAATGAGGTTGTTACCATTGGTTACAGGTAGATGAAACTTAAATAGTGTATAGGTGATCACTGGTATAAACCAAAATATAATCAGTACATTTGAAAGTAAGTTGTCATCGACTCAAGATTTTACGCAACAGTTTTATATATAAATATTCTGAGACTATATGTCTTGATCCCCATATTGGATTGCTTTAAAAAATGTTAAAAGATAAAAAAAAAATTAGATCAACGATTTCTTTAGTAACCATCTACAAAGCTTAGACAAATTTCACTGTCAATAGTTTAAATTGGCGATGAAAAGTTGTGTAATTGATCAGAGATTGTGCTTCTGTAATGTATTAATAGACTAATTATCTACTCATGGAAATGCATAAATAAATAAGAAAAACATATCTGTCAGTGAAAAATGTATAATTGAGTTAATAAAGGCGAAGTTTGTTTTGAACACAAACAGGAATTGAAAACTTGTTTTGCAAGCTTTCCCAAACGTCTGTTGCTTTTGTCAAGCAAAGAGTGCAAATGACTGGTGTCTGGACTCTTTACCACTGAAAACAGCTCACGGAGTCACAGTTTGCCGAAACAAATGAATCGTAATCTGAATATAATTGAGTTATGCAAAAATAAATAAGAAAAAGTCATCTCAGTGAAAAAAATATGTAATGGACCTATCTGCAAATAGAAATGCATAAATAACTAAGAAAAAGTTACTTCTCTGCAAAAATACACTTTATATAAATATTTTACCTAAGATATGTATAAATGAATAAGAAAAAAATATCAGCCAGTGAAAAGAATATTTAATAGAGTTATCTGCCCTAAGAAATGAATGAATATGTAATGTAAAATTATCTCTCGATGAAAAACATGTACTATAGTAATTTGCTCTTAGATATCTGCCAGTAAAAAAAATGTAATAGAGTTATATGCCCTTAGAAAAGCCAAATGTTTTAAGAAAATATCGTCTTTTCTAATTGATTCTGTTGAAAAACAATTTTGTTCTAAGAAATGCATGGCCAGCCTTGGAAGTTTTCATTGTTGTTGCCTTGGGTTGGCTTGGAGGACAGTTTAGTGTCCGTTTGCATTTTTGTGTGTTATATCATTTGTACACAGGTTTGACAAATAGTGCAGCCATGCATTCACCTCACCTGCTCCATGCTAGTAAACCTACGGTAGATGCATCTTCATCTTCATCAAATGCGCGAGGCTTCACCCCGGTGTCGTCTGGCGTCTCATTGTCCCAGCATGCATCTCGGCACGAGCAGGGGACCCCACCCAGGCCCCTGAGTGGTCACACCCCACAGCCAGCTGGGACACGCCCACTTTCCTCGTCCCCGCCCCTCTCAGGTAGAGGTGTGTTTATAGCCCAAGGTATGTGTTCTGTGTCCCGGAGTAACCATTCATGTTGGACAGTGAAGAAAAAAGATCAAACAAAATTCTCTATATACTGAACCCTGAAATATGCTTATTTTAGTCAAAGGTGACTGATACATTTGAAAAAATGATAAGTTTTGACATCTTATAAAATCAATTGATTGACTGTACTTAGCATTCTATCTCTCTTTCATCTATTAGTCATCTAACATATAACTAATTAGATATTCACAACTTCATATATGTTATACATGTATACTAGTTTCATCAGGTGATGACAGATACCTGTTTATATGTTTACTAATTTTTAAGATCTGTCTTTTAAATGTTTATAAACAAATTCAAAAAGGTCTTTTATGTGTCTATTATGGCAACCTTTTTAACATTGATCCTTTCTATCACAGACCTAACTCTTGTCATCATTTCCTGGTCTTGTCATCGCGGTCAAACCTCCTCATTAATTTTCCCAATACCATCAGTAGTTACAGTTGAGCTTCAATTTGATTTTAGCATATGTTTGTAGTAGAAGCTAGTTCATGCGTGGAGTTCTCAGATTTCAGATTGGGATAATGACCTTGAGGCACATTAGTTATATTATGTTAGACTGACACATCACTATCAAACACTAGTGCCAGACTGACATCACTATCAAACACTAGTGACACAGACTGACATCACTATCATATACTAGTGACAGACTGACATCACTATCAAACACTAGTGCCACAGACTGACATCACTATCAAACACTAGTGACATAGACTGACACATCACTATCAAACACTAGTGACATAGACTGACACATCACTATCAAACACTAGTGACACAGACTGACATCACTATCAAATAATAGTGCCACAGACTGACACATCACTTTCAAACACTAGTGCCACAGACTGACATCACTATCAAACACTAGTGACAGACTGACATCACTGTCAAACACTAGTGACAGACTGACATCACTATCATATACTAGTGACACAGACATATATCACTATCAAACACTAGTGACAGACTGACATCACTGTCAAACACTAGTGACAGACTGACATCACTATCAAATACTATCACTATCAAACACTAGTGACAGACTGACATCACTATCAAATAATAGTGCCACAGACCGACATCACTATCAAACACTAGTGCCACAGACTGACATCACTCTCAAACACTAGTTCCACAGACTGACATCACTATCAAACACTAGTTCCACAGACTGACATCACTATCAAACACTAGTTCCACAGACTGACATCACTATCAAACACTAGTGACAGACTCACATCACTATCAAACACTAGTGACAGACTGACATCACTATCAAATACTATCACTATCAAACACTAGTGACAGACTGACATCACTGTCAAACACTAGTGACAGACTGACATCACTATCAAATACTAGTGACACAGACTGACATCACTATCAAACAATAGTGACAGACTGACAACCACTATCATATACTAGTGACACAGACTGATATCACTATCAAACACTAGTGACACAGACTGACATCACTATCAAACAATAGTGACATAGACAGTCATCACTATCAAACACTAGTGACACAGACTGACATCACTATCATATACTAGTGACACAGACATATATCCCTATCAAACACTAGTGACAGACTGACATCACTATCAAACAATAGTGACATAGACTGACATCACTATCAAACACTAGTGACACAGACTGATATCACTATCAAACACTAGTGACACAGACTGACACCTCTATCAAATAATAGTGCCACAGACTGACACATCACTTTCAAACCCTAGTGCCACAGACTGACATCACTATCATATACTAGTGACAGGCTGACATCACTATCAAACACTAGTGACATAGACTGATATCACTATCAAACACTAGTGACATAGACTGACACATCACTATCAAACACTAGTGACAGACTGACATCACTATCAAATACTATCACTATCAAACACTAGTGACAGACTGACATCACTATCATATACTAGTGACAGACTGACATCACTATCAAACACTATTGACACAGACTGACATCACTATCAAACACTAGTGCCACAGAATGACATCACTATCAAACACTAGTGACAGACTGATATCACTATCAAACACTAGTGACAGACTGACATCACTGTCAAACACTAGTGACAGACTGACATCACTATCATATACTAGTGACACAGACATATATCACTATCAAACACTAGTGACAGACTGACATCACTATCAAACACTAGTGACAGCCTGACGTCACTATCAAATAATAGTGACAGCCTGACGTCACTATCAAATAATAGTGCCACAGACTGACACATCACTTTCAGACACTAGTGCCACAGACTGACACATCACTTTCAGACACTAGTGCCACAGTCTGACATCACTATCAATAGTGACAGACTGACGTCACTATCAAATAATAGTGACAGAGACTGACATAGCACTTTCAAACACTAGTGCCTTAGACTGACATCACTATGAAATTCTAGTGACAGCCTGCCATCACTATCAAACACTAATCAAACACTAGTGCCTTAGACTGACATCACTTATCACTATCAAACACGCTGATATCACTATCAAATACTAGTGACACAGACATATATCCCTATCAAACACTAGTGAAGTGACACAGACTGACAGCACTATCAAACACTAGTGAAGTGACACAGACTGACTTCACTATCAAACACTAGAGCCACAGACTGACATCACTATGAAATAATAGTGACAGAGACTGACATAGCACTTTCAAACACTAGTGACAGAGACTGACATAGCACTTTCAAACACTAGTGACACAGACATATATCACTATCAAACTAGTGCCAGACTGACATCACTATCTAATAATAGAGCCACAGACTGACATCAATATCATATACTAGTGACAAAGACATATATCACTATCAAACATTAGTGCCACAGATTGACATCACTATCAAACACTAGTGACACAGACTGACATCACTATGAAATACTAGTGACAGCCTGACATCACTATCAAACATTAGTGACATAGACTGACTCATCACTATCAAACACCAGTGACATAGACTAACACATCACTATCAAACACTAGTGACATAAACCGACATCACTATCAAACACTAGTGACAGACTGACATCACTATCAAATACTAGTGACAGACAGACATCACTATCAAACAATAGTGACAGACTGACATCACTATCAAACACTAGTGACATAGACTGACATCACTATCAAACCCTAGTGACAGACTGGTATCACTATCACACACTAGTGACAGACTGACATCACTATCAAACAATAGTGACATAGACTGTCATCACTATCAAACACTAGTGACACAGACTGATATCACTATCAAACATTAGTGACACAGACTGACATCACTATCAAACACTTGTGACATAGACTGACATCATTATCACACACTAGTGACAGACTGACATCACTATCAAACAATAGTGACATAGACTGACATCACTATCAAACACTAGTGACACAGACTGATATCACTATCAAACATTAGTGACACAGACTGACATTACTATCAAACACTAGTGACACAGACTGACATCACTATCAAACAATAGTGACAGACTGACATCACTATCAAACACTAGTGACAGACTGATATCACTATCAAACACTAGTGACATAGACTGACATCACTATCAAACAATAGTGACAGGCTGACATCACTATCAAACACTAGTGACATAGACTGATATCACTATCAAACACTAGTGACATAGACTGACACATCACTATCAAATACTAGTGACATAGACTGATATCACAATTAAACACTAGTGACAAAATGACATCACTATCAAACTCTAGTGACAGACTGACATCACTATCAAACACTAGTGACATAGACTGACATCACTATCAAACACTAGTGACATAGACTGACATCAATATCAAACACTAGTGACAGACTGGTATCACTATCAAACACTAGTGACATAGACTGACATCACTATCAAACACTAGTGACAGACTGACATCACTATCAAACACTAGTGACATAGACTAACATCACTTTCAAACACTAGTGACATAGACTGACATCACTAGCAAACACTAGTGACACAGACTGACATCACTATCAAACACTAGTGACATAGACTAACATCGCTTTCAAACACTAGTGAAATAGACTGACATCACTAGCAAACACTAGCGACATAGACTGACATCACTATCAAACACTAGTGGCAGACTGACATCACTATCAAACACTAGAGACAGACTGACATCACTATCAAACACTAGTGACATAGACTGACATCACTTTCAAACACTAGTGACAGAGACTGATATCTCAATCAAACACTAGTGACATAGACTGATATCACTATCAAACACTAGCGACATAGACTGACATCACTATCAAACACTATTGACAGACTTACATCACTATCAAACACTAGTGACATAGACTGACATCACTAGCAAACACTAGTGACACAGACTGACATCACTATCAAACACATGTGACAGACTGACATCACTATCAAACACTTGTGACACAGACTGACATCACTATCAAACACTAGTGCCACAGACTGACATCACTATCAAACACTAGTGACACACACTGACATCACTATCAAACACTAGTGACAGACTGACATCACTATCAAACAATAGTGACACAGACTGACATCACTATCAAACACTAGTGACAGAGACTGATATCACTATCAAACACTAGTGACACAGACTGACATCACTATCAAACACATGTGACAGACTGACATCACTATCAAACACTTGTGACACAGACTGACATCACTATCAAACACTAGTGACACAGACTGACTTCACTATCAAACACTAGTGACACAGACTGACATCACTATCAAACACTAGTGACAGACTGATATCACTATCAAACACCAGTGACATAGACTGACATCACTTTAAATAATATAGCGTCAAGCTTAACCCATCATTTTGCTGTAATATGCTTTTGTTGGGGAATGGAAGT